TTCCTGCCCAGGCTGCCTTTCAACCATGATCCACATATCTCAGGTTAGCTAGGATTACAGGCGTGAGCCACCGGTGCCCAGCTTCAATCAATTTCTTTCTGGTAGAAGGTCCCTTAGAAGCATCTCTTCTTTGCCACTTAAAAGCCATAGTTATCTAGGTGCTAGTGTCTCGTGTCTGAAATTCTAGTTACTTGGGAGGTTAAAATCTGAGGACCTTGGCTCAAAACCAGCCCAGGGACAAAAGTCCATAGGACTCTTTTCTCCAGTTAACTACCAAAAAGTCAGACATAGAAGTGTGACTCAAATGGCAGAGCACTAAACTAGAGCTGAAAAAGCTAAGGGAAAGTACCCTGGCCCTGAGTTCAAGCCTCAGTACCAGCACAGAAAAGAAGGAAGAAAGGCTGTGGGGGAGGGGGGAGGAAGGAAGGGAGGGAGGAAGGGCAGACAGACAGAAAAAGAGAGAAAGCAAGACAAAGAAAAGAGAAAGCAAGACAGAAAAAGAGAAAGAAAGCAAGACAAAAAAGATGAAAGGAAGGGGAGGGGGGAGGAAGTGAAAGGGACAAAGAGAGGAGAGGAAAGGGAGGGGAAGGAAAAGGAAGGGAAGAGGAAGGGAAGAGGAGGGGAAGGGGAAAACAGGCGAAGGGGAGAACTGGGAAAGGAAGCCAGAAGCCCTAATTTAACATATGGAGTTTGAGATGTGCCCAGCTATATTTTTGCAGGCCAAAGGAGGACATGTCCTGGAGTGCATACCTTTGCACAGATCCGTCACTTGTGTCTGATTGATTGCAGGCAGCACAGTGTAACTGGGCCATTCCTGACCTGGCCTTGAGACGGCATGGTGCCCGTGTAAGGCATTGAGCCACCCTGAGACCGTGTGACAGGAAGACTAGGTGGCCATGCGGAGCAATCTCCACGGTCAGCGACCGTCCCAGCTGTGCTCTAGTCAGCCATGTTGAATACACATTCCAGGAGTGCACTCCCATACCTAGCCTTTGTCTAGGCAGCACCGTGAGAAGTCAAAACTCATCTAGCTAATACATCTAGAATACATTGTTGCTTCTGGTGATGAAGTCTCAGCAACTGAGTTGACACAGCTTTGCCCATCTGTGTTCCCATCCTTGAGGCATATCAGAGCACAGCCTGTTTTAAAGGGCCAGAATCAGGCATGTGGCCCTTCTGAGAGGTTCAGCTCCCTAGTCTGAGACAAGCGCCCTGGATTTATTGTCACATAAACCTACATTGAGAGATGGCATAAGAAAATACTGTCTACAGTGAAGGACTCCTCACAGGGTGCTGCTAGACAGAGAGTAGGAAATTAAGATTTGACAATGTTGGCCAGGACTGGTGGCTCACGCCTGTATTCCTAGGTACTCAGGAAGCTGAGATCTGAGGATCACAGTCAAAGCCAGCCCAGGCAGCAAAGTCCCTGTAAGACCTTGGCTCCAAGTGCCAGAAGTGGCACTGCGGCTTAGTGTGCTAAAACACTAGCCCTGAGCATAAGACCTCAGAGACAGTACCTGGGGCCTGAGTTCAAGCCCTACGACTGACAAAAAAAAAAAAGACTTGACATTGTCTTGGTATACAAAGGCTGAGTGGAGAAGTTTGGGACCTTGTTCAGCTGTGATCACTCACTGTAGGTAAGTGATGGACTTCTTAGAATTTCAACTTTTGTCATGGTGAGAAAATGAAAGCAGGCATTTATTCTGCTTTTTCCTCTAGGTATCTGTGCAACCAGACACTGGGTATCTTGCAGATGCAGAAAAAAAAACCACAAGGGGGTGGTACAGAACCAATATATATTAGCTCTACCGCTTGAGCCACAGTGCCACTTCCGGTTTTTCTAGTGGTTTATTGGAGACAAGAGTCTCAGACTTTCCTGCTCTGGCTGGCTTTGAACCTCAATCCTCAGATCTCAGCCTCCTGGGTAGCTAGGATTACAGGTGTGAGTCACCAGCGCCCAGCTTGGCTGTTCCTTTCTATAACTCCCTCCCTTCCTCCCTAGGCCTTTCAGGTATCCAACACAGATCTGCCTAAGCCACCAGTTCTAGAATGAGGGCTTCCCCTATCCATCACCCTGCCTGCCGTACTCATACTCCAGAACCTGCTTGGTAACCCTCTTTTCCCAAATAAAAGAAAATCTCCAGCACCAGAAAGGGGTATCTGACAGCAATAGATTTATTAAGTATCCCCCCCAAAATATAAACATACATCAGTAAAAACAAAACAAACTATAAAACATCAGGCTCGGAGCCACAATAAAACCAAGAGACAAGGGGCATCACAAAAAAGGAGGTGGGTATGTGGGGAGGACAGAGCCAATGGACTCAAACTGGGTGGGGATGGCCATAAATACTGAAGGACGTAACTCGGGAGGCCCTGTGACACCATAGCAAGCTGGTAGAAGCAAAGCTGGGGGGCAGTGTCAGCAGCTAAGTGGCTCTGAGGGACAGACCTGCTTGTCTTGGCCCTGGCTGACATGTGACTCCACCCGCAGGTGGTTCACTTGGGGCCCTGGGCCTCAGACTCCTCATCATCATCTTCATACATCTCGCCCTCCTCCTCGGCTGTGGCGTCCTGGTACTGCTGGTACTCAGACACCAGGTCGTTCATGTTGCTCTCGGCCTCCGTGAACTCCATCTCATCCATGCCCTCACCAGTGTACCAGTGCAGGAAGGCCTTGCGCCGGAACATGGCGGTGAACTGCTCGGAGATGCGCTTGAACAGCTCCTGGATGGCCGTGCTGTTGCCGATGAAGGTGGAGGACATCTTGAGGCCGCGAGGAGGGATGTCACACACAGCTACCTTGACATTGTTAGGGATCCACTCCACAAAGTAGCTGCTGTTCTTGCTCTGGATAGCCAGCATCTGCTCATCTACTTCTTTCATAGACATGCGCCCACGGAAGACAGTGGCCACTGTCAGGTAGCGGCCGTGCCGGGGGTCACAGGCAGCCATCATGTTCTTGGCATCAAACATCTGCTGGGTGAGCTCGGGCACGGTCAGGGCCCGGTACTGCTGGCTGCCCCGGGCTGTGAGTGGGGCAAAGCCGGGCATGAAGAAGTGCAGGCGGGGGAAGGGCACCATGTTCACAGCCAGCTTGCGCAGGTCTGCATTGAGCTGGCCAGGAAAGCGGAGGGAGGTGGTGACCCCACTCATGGTGGCCGACACCAGGTGGTTGAGGTCCCCATACGTGGGTGTGGCCAGCTTCAGGGTGCGGAAGCAGATGTCGTACAGGGCCTCATTGTCAATGCAGTAGGTCTCATCCGTGTTCTCCACCAGCTGGTGGATGGACAGTGTGGCGTTGTAGGGCTCCACCACGGTGTCTGAGACTTTGGGTGAGGGCACCACACTGAAGGTGTTCATGATGCGGTCAGGATACTCCTCCCGCACCTTGCTGATAAGCAGGGTGCCCATGCCCGAGCCTGTGCCCCCACCTAGGGAGTGGGTCAGCTGGAAGCCTTGCAGGCAGTCGCAATTCTCACACTCCTTCCGCACAACGTCTAGGACTGAGTCCACCAGCTCCGCACCCTCTGTGTAGTGACCCTTGGCCCAGTTGTTGCCAGCCCCACTCTGACCTGTTGGGGAGAGGAGGAGGACGAAGTGACAGGAAGGTTTCTGATGGTCTATAGTCAAGACGAGGGCCTCCCTGAGCACTTCAGGGGACAGCTATAGAAGCTGGTCCCTCTGTAAAGTGTACAGCTGATGAACAACTTCCTATGTCCCTGCTGGCCCTGAGCTCTTGCAGCCTGCTGAGGTCCTAGCTGCATGTTAAGGACTTTGGAACAGGAACTGAAAACCTGGAGTCAGCCATAGCCATACTGCCTCCCAAGAGCATTCTGGTTAGCCCTTCCCCTCCAGAACACTTTTCTTCCTTGGGCATGCTGGAAGTATAAACTGCAACCCCAGAGTTCTGTGTAGCTGGGGACCAGTTGAAACAGCATCCACGAGAGCTAGGTGTGTGGAGTCCCTGAGGCAGAGGCGAGGTAAGGTATCTTCCTGTATCTGTGTAAGCAGCAGTGGCTGCCACCAAGACACGGGCACAAGGATGTGCTAACTTTTTGTTGTTATTGTTGGTCGTCGGGCTTGAACTCTGGGCCTGGGCACTGTCCCTCAGCTCTTCAGCTCAAGGCAAGTGCTCTACCACTTGGGTCATAGCACTACTTCCAGTTTTCTGGTGGTTAACTGGAGATAAGAGTCTCATAGACTTTCCTGCCTGTGCTGGCTTTGAATCACAATCCTCAGATCTCAGTCTCCTGAGTCGCTAGAAGTACAGGCATGAGCCGCCAGTACCCGGCTGTTCTAACTTTTTTTTGCCACAGGCTTATGTCCTCTGCTGGCCCCTACTTCTGCCCCAATATCTCTGTAATGATTCCACAAACTTATTGTTCTGTACCTGTTATGCTTAAAATGAGTGGTGTGTTTCCTACACAAAATCTTTTCTCTGGGGCTCCAATCCCCAACTACAAAACAGAAAGTTCTATTTTACCCTACAAGGTCCCAGTGAGGAGCTGGCTTCTCCCCTTTGCTGACACTTGTCCCGATCTACTGATGTGGCCTGCCCTGCCCAAGTTTCTCTACCACTGGAGTCTAGAGCAAGGGAAACTCACCAAAGATGAAGTTGTCAGGCCTGAAAAGATGTCCAAAGGCCCCTGACCGTACGCTATCCATAGTTCCAGGCTCCAGGTCCACCAGGATAGCCCGAGGCACATATTTATGAGCTGAAAGAGAGGACCCAGAGATGTAGGTCAGAGTCAGTACCTCCTATCACCTTACACCCCAACCTAGACTCAACTCATAGGCTTAGGTGAGTTCCAGTCACTTGGCTACATGGGCAGGATAATACAGCACCAATTTGTTATAAAGAAATCATTCTGTACCAGTTTCCCAATAGCCTCTAATTGAGCCATCCAAGGGAACCCAGCTGTGTATCTGCCCACAGCCCCGGAGAACAGCCACTCATCGCCCCATAAGACTTGCATGGCCACCAAGTGCAGTTATCTCACACTAGGGTGGCCATCTTCAGTGAGTCTGGAGTGCGGATCCCAGTCATGGCTGCTGGTCTTCTGGTTAACCAGAGGTCAGAGATGCTAGGGCTCCACCCCCTCAGGAGCCTCCTCCCCAGCGTGGGAAGGGACTGGGGCAAGCACTCACAGGAGGCCTCGTTGTAGTAGACACTGATGCGTTCCAGCTGCAGGTCTGAGTCACCCACGTAGTTGCCGCTGGGATCTATGCCATGCTCATCACTGATGACCTCCCAAAACTGTAACCAGGGGGAGAAGGAGTCAGTAAGGGGCTGTGATATAGCCTTAGTACCAAATTAGAGCCTGGGACCTCACCACCCCAGCTGACTTTAGAAAAGAGCAACCATGCAAACGACTGCATCTGCATGCCCAGGCTGACATTACCCCAGGAAGACCAGGGCTCAGCCAACAGAGATCAGGTTCCTAGATACAGCCCTGACCCTGACCGTGTGGACAAGGTACAAATACCTCACAGAGAAGGTACAGAGAATCGCCTGGAGCAGGAGGTAGAAAAGAATACAAGCCTGAAGCCGGGCGCTGGTGGCTCACGCCTGTAATCCTAGCTACTCAGGAGGCTGAGATCTGAGGATTGCGGTTCAAAGCCAGCCCGGGCAGGAGAGACC